TGTGAATCTTCAGACAATGACCGCTAAATCTGTTCTATGATGTGTGAAATTATGTTACAATAAACACCCATATATTAAGTTATAAATTACCTGCATACATAAATACCTCATTTCCTTAGTTTAAAAGAAGTGTCAATGTTAATATTGTTTAAAACCACATGAAGGCTTGAAAATGTATTTACATGGGCTTTAGTGACTGATAGAGGCAGATTTTCTACAAGAAACCTAAAATAAAGTAAAATTTAAAGTTTAACAGTGAAACTAGCTAGAGGCATACATTTACATTTTAATTGACCCAGTATCCTTGTCCAACTGGGACTTCAGAAAAGGTCCCTTCCCTATTTATTAACTGCACAATGAGTATATTGTGTTGATCCCTTTCTAATCAAGGCACAAGTCTGTGTTAGCTAGAGATAATAGGTGTCCACATGATCTTGCAAATAGCTTTTCCCTTTATGAAGGTTTTCTTCTATAGGAATTAAGGTTTGGACTTTAGCCTCATTAACACTCTGATGTAAACAACTGATTTAATTAGATTATAATGTGATCATTAAGGGAATGTATAGTCCCTTTACATATATATATAGACACCTTTCTATTCATTTAACTTTTCTTCTTAGGTCCTGGGCCAGAGGTACAATTATTTGGGCACTGTCCCTTGCAAACACCAAGTCTTTCTATTTAAAGAGTTTCAAAGGCTCAGGGAAACATCCTTGAGTTTTCTAACTTCACTGTCATAAACACAAACTATTTCTCCAGAAACCGGTCTTCTAACCAACTGACAATGTACCCCCAAGGTACAGAAAGGTACATTTTAAATAATCTTGACATGTGTTTCAAAGAGATGAAAAGCCATTAGAATAGCTAAAATCATAGGTTCCTGCGGTAAGTATCCAGCCCCTCCATGGTCTGCAAATCCGTTACAACACATGGGACATTCAGGCAGCCCCACGTTAGGATATGGAAGCCTATGAGACCAGGAAAAGTTTCTATTCACAGGTGAAATCTCAACATTCCTCCTTTTCAACATGGGAGTGCAGGGTGGGGTGGGAAATGGCTCATGGTATTTGGCAAAAGAAGAAATAATCTATTTTAATTCAATTTGGATTTCTTCTATGCTCCCAATTTCACAGAAATACAAATATGAAAGTATGTTTTTAAAACAGATGAAATTAACAGATCATTTTGTTTTATAAAAAAAATTCCATGTTGTATTCTGACCAGAACAACTACCGTGTTGAATACATGATGGAGGTTGTAAAAAGCAATTAACATGATACTCTAAGAACACAGCTACTTCATAAAGCAAACCTTAAATTTCTCCCTGAATGTACTGCCCATAGTTCTTTAAGTTCTTCAAGTATCATTAAGTGCTTAAGTCAAACCATGATGACCAATTCTAGGAAAAACACTGATGTGAGTGTTCAAGTGAGGAGCTGATCTAGCTGCTTTTTTAAATGGAATGTTACTTTCACATTTTAAGAATGACCTATAGACAAACTGTGGTTATTTAGACATGGGTATTTTAGAGAAAATTCTCAAATATGAAGTGAACCTGTTACTGTGCAGAAAAAAACTGATGTTACTTCTTTCCATTGGTAAAATTCAAGCTTCCAAGTGAAAATTTGGATTTAAGAAAATTTGTATATTCCACTATGAGTTTAACAGCTTCCCAGTATTTAAAGGCTTCTGAGAAGATCAATGATAATATTAATAAATAGAATTTTTAAATGTTTATTCATTTTGAGAGAGAGAGAGTGCACAAGTGCTGTCAGGGCAGAGACCAAGGCAGGGCTGGATCTCACAAATTGTAAGATCACGACCTGAGCCAGGATCAAGTGTGGACGCTCAAGCGACTGAACCATCCAGGCGTACCAATAAATAGAACTTTTGATATTCTATAACAAACTGTGTCAACATTTGGAATATTTGCCAAACTTGATGAACTTCTATCTTCCAAATTACCAGTGTAAGATGTAACAAAATCATGCATAGGTAGAAGGTGTATTTTAAGTGTAAAATAAGCCAATGAGTCTTAGTATAATAGGGTGCAAAAAGTTCACAGAAACGGTTTCAGATTCCACATTTCAACTAATTTTTAAGAAGATATTACTTGTGGAGTTTTGATGTAGTATCAAAGAAAAGACCCAAAATTATTTGAAGAAATTATTATAATCGTCCTCTTTTTTCTGTCTTCCTATCTTGAAGACCGTATTTTCTTATGTATACTTTAATGAAAACAATATATTGCTACACATTGAATGCAGAAGCAGATATGAGAATCCAGCTTTCTATTAAGGTAGATATTAAAAAGACTCTTGGAAATGCTGCTTTTTTATGAATTATTTTGTCTTGAAAAAGTTATTTTAATTTAAAATTCATTGTAAATATTAACATATTTTAATTAACATGCATTGTATGTATTAATATATTTTAATAAAAATAAATTAGTATATTTCCAAATAATTAGTAACTTCTTACTTTCTGTTTTTATCTTGAATACAATAAATACTCGTAGATATAATTAACAGAAGCAAAATCTTTTGGGGGTCCTAATAATTTTTAAAAGAATAGCTGCTTTGGAGCACCTGGCTGGCTTATCTTGGGGCCGTGAGTTCAAGCACCATGTTTGGTGTAGAGATGACTTAAATAAATAAATAAACTTAAAAAAAAGAGAGAGGGGCGCCTGGGTGACTTAGTCGGTTAAGCGTCCAACTTTCGCTTGGGTCATGATCTCACGTTTCGTGGGTTCGAGCCCCGCGTCGGGCTCTGTGCTGACTGCCAGCTCAGAGCCTGGAGCCTGTTTCAGTCTGTGACTCCCTCTCTCTCTGACCCTCCCCTGCTCACGCTGCCTCTCTCTCTCTCTCCTAGAAATAAATAAAAAAAAAAAAAAGAGAGAGAGAATAGCTGCTTTGCAGAGGCATCAGACGCATATGTCCTTTAACACATGTATAGGTACATTTCTAGTATTGTGGCACGTTAATGTTTCATTATTCAATGATTTTTAATAAAGGCTTTTGTTTTTTGGTTGTTTTTTTTTGCTTGTTTTCAAGTAAGCTCTACACACCCAAGGAGATCCAGGGTCACATGCTCTACTGACTGAGCCAGCCATGTGCCCCTATTGTTCGATTATTTAAAGAAATAACAGGGGAAGCTGGATGGTTCACTCAGTTAAGCAACCAACTTTTGATTTTGGCTCAGGTCATGATCTCACGGGTTTGTAAGATCGAGCCCTCCTTGTGCTCTATGATGATAGCACAGAGCCTGCTATCATCATAGCAGAGGGATTCTCTCTCTCCCTATCTCTGCTCCTCCCTTACTGGTTCTCTCTCACTCTCTCTTAAAATAAATAAATAAACTTAAAAGAAAAAAAAAAAAGAACAGAAAAGAACTGATATGGATAATTATAATCACCCAATCCTTTTTAGTTTGAAATACTTGCCCGTATAAAATACTTCACTTCCCAGCTTCCCTTGCAGCTAAGGGTAAGTAAGTATGTATCTAATTTCTGCATAGTGAGATGTAAGCAACATGTTTATGTGGTACTTTCAGGTAATATCCTTAAAAAGAAGTATGTGTTCTGTCTCCTTCCTCCATACTGCTTCCTAGAATGATGACTGTAATTCTAGCAGTCATTTTTGAAACATGAAGACAAGAGATAAAGGACAGTAAAAATGGAAGAAACCAGATCCTGGAAAACTTTGTAGAGCTATTATACCATTCCTGGATTGTCTACATCTGAACTTCTAAGAGAAAAATAAAGGCTTTATTTAAACCACTGTTATTCTGACTTTTCTATTATATGCAGTGAAATCTAATCTAAGAAAAGATAATTTTGATGAGAAAGATGCTATATATAAACTTTTGGGTTTTCTAAATAGAATCTCAGGGAGAAAAAAAAAAGTTTGCTCCATTAGAGAAATCAAAACAAATAAGAAAACAGTGAATTGTTCCACAACATGGGAAAAGATATGCATTGTAATACAATCCATAGTTTATTACTTTGAAGAATGATAGAGATATTTAACAAGAGCCTTAAACTACCCTTCGTCATTTGAGTAATAGTTCCTTCATGGCAAAGAGTGATCCAGATTTTTCCCATGGACTCAAGCAAAGAATAATAAGTTAAAAGTGTGGAAAATATATTACACATTCATCATTTTGCCAGCACTAACATGTAAGTTTTACTGTATTGGGGGTAAATAGATAGGCTGCCCTTTTAATCAACTGACCAGTGTCCCAACAAGCTAAGATTAACAACTTGGCTAATGAATAGGCATGATTAAAAAATTGGTTGACAATGCATGAATGAATAAATAGCCATAAGCTTGGAAATGCTACCTGTAGTATTTTAAAGTGTCAATCACATCTCTAGTCGTCATTTAAAGAATGTGTGCCAATGTTATCATCTAAAATATATTTACAGAGGTCAGAAGAGCTATGTCTGTCCTCCTCTATGCAAAGAGGTGATGACATCAAGGGGGTATGTCACAAGCCTAAGTTCAGTTAGTAGATTTAAGTTGGTTTGGAGTTTTATCCACTAAGTATGATCTTCTGACCCCTCAGTTTTACAACTTTCCACTCTCTGTGCTGCATAGCACCTCTCCACTTCTGAGTTAATCATTTCTTTGCCATTATCTGCCAGGAGTTCTTATCTCTTTTGCTGTCACTTTATAACAGGGTCCTCTTATCAACCTGCATAGAGTCATGTGATCCATCCAAACCTATCAAAAGTTTCCATTCTTCTGATTAGAAACCATCATGTAACTGGATACATGGTTTACAGCAGGCCACTAATGCTGGAAAAAGTACAGAGTCCAGGGAAAGACTTGCTTGTAACTTTCTGAATTCTTGGATTTTTTTTTTTGCTATTTTTTTTAACTTTCACTAAGGGTTACTGTAGTCTGATGTGTCCTCCTCAAAGCTACAAAAGCTATACTTTTTCTTATGCTCAATGATTTCTGCTTTAAACCAAAGGACCACCTGTAATTGTACCAAGAATGTCTTCTAATTCAGATACTGGAAATTTACAAGATTCTCTAAAGCACGGACTTACACCTATCGGTGAGTAGGAGTTGCTCTGTCATCCATTTATTATTTTGCTACTACATTAATTCACGTAATTTAATCTTATTGATGTATTTAGTACTATAAGTCATTGCTTCTCCTCTTGTCTATTAAAAGCACATAAGCCCATGTATGTATCACACATTTATCTTTCTTGAAATTCAAAATAAGCAAATGGATATCAATATTTTTCATTATAGCCACTGGTTTTTGGATGCTCATCCATTATTCTAAAGCAGTCAGAAACAAAAATGCATAATATATATATTTCATCACTAATATTTTCGGATAATTTCTAATCAGAGACAATAAGCTACAACTTTAACAACTTGAAACAAGTTAACCATATGGAATTATCATTGATCAAACTTTTAAAAAAGCTTTCAAATATTGTAAAGTTTCAAGCCACACCACAGTATGGTGTCTCATTCATTGCAGATACTATAGAAAATCTTTTGTTTCTCTGATGAATAAAAGCCATGTAAATATATACACATTTTAAATATGTGTATTTAATAAATACAATGGATATACACACGTACATCATTAGTTAAAGATTCGAATTTAAGGGTTCCTGTCTGTTTTCCAAAATAATGAGCATGGTTTGTTTTTATAAACAAGTAAATAAAGCTAATTTTCACTTTAAAGAAAGAACAAAAATATTGTCAATGTTACAGCAAGAATACGTGCAATTGATCCTAAAAGGACTAAAGGGAAGTGACTTCCAGTGGTGTGTGATTATTAGTCTGTTGGCAATCCTGCCTTTATTCCTTTCCCTTAGTTTTTGAAGGACCTGTGCCTTTTCTTGCGGCATTTTCTTAGGCTTTCGAACTGGAATTTTCCCTGCGAATTCGCAGAGGCCTGTCATAAGCTCTGAGTTCCAGCTCCGCTGTAACAAGAAGGCAAATCAGGCTTGGGCTTTTCCTCTTTCTCCCTTGATAACCAGCTGACTCCGCTGCCTGCAGTGATTGCTTTTTTTATGGGCCAACTACACCCTGTATCAGTTGAGGAAAGAGTTACCCAAAAAAAAAAAAAAAAAAAGTTCTGTACTTGTGAAAAAGAAACATGAGGAAGGCAAGCAGAGTGCAACAGAGAATCAATTGCTCTGCAGATAAAAAGAAAATACGAGCACAAGGAAGGAGGTGAAAGAGAAGCACAAACGATTTCAAATCTTTTTCGCCCTGCACAACCGCCGCGGCGCGCGAACGAGCCCCCGCAGGCACGGCGGGCGGGGCGTTCCCGGGGCTCCGGGCCGGGGGCTCGAGGCGAGAGCGCGCTCCAGCCGGGGGCGAGGGCAGCGTGCGCGCGGGGCGAGCCTGCGCTCCGGCCGCGCCTCGGGGCGCGCGCAGCCCGGACCCGTAGGCTGCGAGTTAAGAGGGCGTGGGGTCCCGAGAACACACTTTGTTCTCTCCCACCCCAGTCTCCCCTCCACCGCGTCCCTTAGACCCCTGGGGTGAATTAAAGAGGGTTAGGTGGGAGAAGGAGACGCCTTGCAGGTCTCTGTGCTACCGCGGACCCGTATTTTACCCACCGCCCCGGGACTCACACCGCAAGGGCTATGCTGTGGGCGCAGAGGCGGGTCCAGCCTTAGCGTAAATAGAGAGCACACTTAAGTCTGGGATCAGCCGGGTTCCAGAGAGCCAGAAGCTTCGGAATGTCTGTCCAGTCCGGGAGGGACTGCTAAAGACAGACACAAAAACAAAACAAAACAAAAACAAAAAAAACCCCAGAAGGAGTCGCTCGGCGAGCTTGTCCCAACACCCTAAACCTCTCCAGGCACTTCCGGGCGCCAGATCCCAGGATGACAAAACTCCAGTCAATTTTCCAGTAAAGGAAATCTCTTTCCGGATCTCGTTGGAAGCCACCGCCCCATCCCGGCCCACACATTCTCCCTCCTCCATTCCCTGCTGTTCCCAGGTAGCTGTGAGACGTCCCTGTTTGCAACATCCTAGGCGCGCTGAGGCGGCTCCTGGCACTGAGAATCCCATCTGTTCATGGGGTAGCCTCCAAGGAGTACTGAGGGTCACTCCTGGGGTTCTTGGCTAGACAGGCCACCCAAAGAGCTGACAGAGGAAAGGGGGACAGTGTGAGCCATCAGACTAAACAGGGGTGACCACAACCCCGAGGGGGTTGGGTTGCTTCTTGGGTTGGATTCTGCCCGCCCTGCAGGCCCATTGAGAAGAACCCACAGGTGGAGCTGTAGAGAGTGTAAGGTCCTGGAGTAGCTTTGAGGGGGCAAATTGCAAGTTAGGGTAGGGATGAGGAGTGGTTCACGAACCCGAGGCCAAAGCATGTAGAGATCAGTCAAGGTTTAAAACTTTATGTTGGTTCAGTTGTGTTGTACCTGAAAATGTGCCTCTGTTCATTACAAAAGCTGTCTCTGAGGGTCCTAGCTGAGCATAACATTTTCCTTCTATGCACACTGGTGGTTACATGAAAATTGTGCATAGATGTCTGTACTCAAATAGAAAAGTGGAAATAAGATAACGTTGTTCCTTCTTTCCTACCTGCAAGATAATCGTTCAGTGTGGTATATAACCAGATCGTTCCCTTAAAGTTAACTAGCCCTGGGACACTCTCCAGATTCTTGGTTTCTGACTTAGGTACTTCTTCATTCTCCAAAATGGGGCAATTTTACTGATGATATGCAGTACTCATTTGAGAGAGAAATGGAGAGAGAAAAAGTAGTTGTCTGTATCAACGAAAGAGCCAAATCTGTATGGCAGGAAACATGTCATACAACAACTATTTATTGACTCTTCTGCAATGTGCTCAACATTATGCTTTGATTTGTATTAAATGTATGCACTTCTTCAAATTAAGTGCAATTATGGAATTTATTATACACATTTATTATTGTATGTTATCCACGGGAAATTATGTCTGCATAGTGAGGGGTACATAATACACAATGTAAACACTATTGAGAAATGATACAAAGTTTGTTATCTAGTCCCTTTAGCACTCTTGGAGTCTGATTTTATTCCAGCAATAACTTCCAGAAAGCTCTGGGTCCATAAGAGTCTCTCAAAGTAGAGGTCATGTAGAGGAAAATGAGATAGCCCGTTGTGTCACCCTACACTCTAGCCAGCTTTATTTGCAGTGCAGTTTAGAAGGTCAGTCACCCAAACCCATTCTCTGATTCTTGCTGCTGGGCTTTGGCAGCCAGTTCCCTCCAGGAAGCTAAACTCTGGTGCTTCTTCTCCTTCCCTGCCTCAGCCCAACTCCAAAACAGTGCTTTCCACACAGTAAAGAGGCCAGCTCTCTTTACTGGCCTTGATCTACAAGTTGTGACTGGAGCTAAAGTCACCTCTTAATAAACCAAGAGAGATTTATGGAGGAAGGGAGAACAGAGGCTTGGTAGTGCTTTTTTCCTTTCCTTAAAGCCTCCACCCAGACACAATGTCAAGAGTTATCTTAGCTTCAGCCTTGAACTTGAGTTGAGTTAGCTTGAAGGGCTCTGGGACAGATTCCCACCTGGAGGGCCCAGCTTCCGCCAAGTACTTCCAGGGAAGCTTGACGCGGGGAGAGTCAGATATCTTCTGGTGACCAAGACCAGAACCTACCTCAGGATAAAGAACCCTATTTCTTTGGGTTACACTTCCTTACTCTTCACCTTATTGGAAAAAAAAGTCTCTGAGAAATCCAGTTGGCTTCAAGGAACTTTGGGATTTGAGGAGCCTTGAGGTCTGGGGAGGTCCTGGGGAAAAACTGGAAGATTACCAGAGTGAGCTTGAGAGATTAAGCCTTGGAGAACCCTGGGGACTAAACCTGAGCAGACAAATTGGCAAAGGTTGCCTCTTCTTTTAGTCTTGGGAAGCTCTGATATAAGAAAAGACATAACTTAAGTTTTAAACTTTAAATAATCAAAATACAGATGAACATAAGCAATTCGTGAGCAGTTTTATCCGGGAGTGCAATTAAGTCCTTGAGGACTGTGTCAAGCGCTGCAAGACACTGAGGTTAGTGAATTCCTCCCACTGGAAGGATTTATTTATTTTTTATTTTATTTAAGAATCTTATTAAATGTTTATTTCATTTATTTTGAGAGAGACAGAGACAGTGTGAGCAGGAGAGGGGTAGAAAGAGAGAAGGAAAGAGAGAGAGAATCCCAACCAGACTCTGAACTACCAGTGCAGAGCCTGAAGCGGGGCTTGAACTCAGGAAACCAAGATTCAGAGGCTTGACTGAGCCACCCAGAGATCTCTGGAAGAATCTTATTTTTAATGGTTCTAGAATGGTTAGTGATTCCTTTCCTAGTGATCTTCCTTACAGAAAGATGAGTGTGGGTGAAGTTAGAAGAAAAGAGATAAATACAAAGGTAAACTGGTTGCTGGGATTGTCTCATCCAACTGTAAAGTTTACTTTGTTAACCCTGATTTACTGATGACAACACTGAATCAGAAAGGTCAAGTGATTCACCCAAGACCACCTGGTTTGTCAGGAGAGTGAACCATAAACAGAACCCATGGATGTGATTCTGAAATCCATGCTCTTTCCTCAAAGTAGTGATTATTTGCTTTTGTTTATGTAATGGAATTATGGTTGAAAACAATGTTGATCTGCTCAGAGTTTCTTCCGAAACGCATTCTGGGATTAAGAAGACATTTGTAAATGGTTCTTTATCTTCCTTTTCATTCCACAGTGAAAATCAGATTTAGGTTCCAGTAGAATTCGGAAGGGTGGGAAGGGAAGAGGTGTAGGAGACTGGGTGGAAACAGCAGCCCAGCCTTGAGGGCAGAGCAAAGCAGGGTGGGAAGGCACTTTGGGTCTTGTACTCTGGAATTGCTTGGAAAGGATCTCTGGAGTTTGGATGGAGTTTTGCTTGCAATTATGGGGTATATGCCGGCAACTTGCAGGCCTACTGACAGGGCATAAGGGAATTGAGAGACAATTCAGAGCATCTATATATGTTAGAGAGTTGGTGGGTATGAAGAAAGAGAAAATGAGTGATTGAGTTTTGAGAGAAAGGGACCTTTTTTTTTTTTTTTTTCCAC